GAGGGGAGCGGACAAGGGCCGGAGGGGAGCGGACAAGGGCCGGAGGGAGAGGGGGCATGAGACAGAGAGAAGGAGCAAGCATGGTAGAGAGCATGCGAGGGAGCACCAGAGCAAGAATGCGTGTGAGTGGGAGCTCACGCGAGAGAGAGGGAGAGCAAGAGAGAGGAGGGTGACAGACAGAAAGCCTTTTAGGCTGTAAGCGAATCAAGAGGAAAAGATAGGAATGTGGAGTTGAGAGTTATCAGATCGGCCATGATCTCATCAAATGGTGAAGTACACACTTGACTGGTGACGGCATATTTTTGCTCCTTTGTTTTATGGTTGATCTTGTGAGAACGCACATAAGATAATTACATGTTGAAAGTTGCATGAAAATTACACAAACCAACATTGAAACGACTAACTTCTGAGATTGCTTTCTAAAAAACCGTAAACGACCTAAAAATGTGAAACTATAAAAAGATTCAACTTCTTATGCAATTTTATTTTGTTGTCACTCGTAAAATGGAACACTTTGATTTTTGGAAACCTGAAGGTTGTGTCAAAAATTGCAGCCCAGGTAAACAAAGTGCCAGATACACAGCAAAACTTTATACATTTTTTTCTATTAAGAACAACCTTAACCTCAGAAGTTCAATATTTTGCATGAAGTTGTGGGGAGTTTTAGAATGCAGACCTGCATTAATGAGGACTGGATTGAAACTTACCTTCCCTGTCAGTAATAACGTCTTTGCCTCATCTGACAAATAGCACTTGTTATTGCTGGAGTCCTGAGCAAAGAAACATATATCAAAAATAATATATTTATGAATGAGGCAGCAAAACAAAAAATCTATCACCAAAGCTACAATAGCAAACTAATAGACATGCATTTCATTAAAACAGAAAGGCAAAATTAAAGATTACAAATAATTTGCTCCTTCTACCATGAAACCTTCTCACGGTGAATACAACCACATTATCTTGCCTGTTGAGTTAAATGTTTCGAACACCTCTACTAATCGTACTTGGACCACGACACATACATTTGGTACAACTGGCCATTTTCAAATGTCAATACGTTTGAGCCCGGAAAAGCACAGGTCAGACAGCATCCAAGGAGCAGGAAAGTCAACATTTCGGGCCAAAATGCTTTGTCAGGACTGGGGAGGGGGAAAGGGTGGAACAGATAGGTGAGTAGGAAGATAGACAGATTAGGTCAGGTCAGGGAGGCGAAGAGGAGGGGACCGCTGGGCATGGGATAAGGCTGGGGCGGGGGGGTGGAGGGATTTTGAAGCCGGTGAAGTCAATATTGAGGCAATTCGACTAAGTTCCCAAGGTGAAATATCAGGTGTTGTTTCTCCAGTTTGAATTTGGCCTCACTCTGACAGTGGAGGGGACCAAGGGTGGACATGTTGCCGTGGGAGGGGGAATTAAAACAGATGGCAACCGAGAGGTTGGGTTGGTTGGTGTGTGAAGAGCACACATGCTCCGTGAACCAGTCCTCGAGTCTGGGTTTGGTCTCCCCGGTATAGAGGAGATTGCACTGGGAGCAACAGATACAATAGATCAGGTTAGATGAAGTGGAGGTGAATCTCTGCCGGATTTGCACAGAGGTGAGAGGGGAGGTGTAGGGGCAGGTGTTGCACCACTTGTGGTTGCAGGGAAAGATACTGGGTGTGATGGAGAAGCTGATGGCAAAGGAAATCTCATTTTGGTGGCGGGTATGATCATAGGTGGCAGAAATGTCGGAGGATGATGCGTTGGGTTTGGAGATTGGTGGGGTGGTATGTCAGGACTTGGGGACTCTATCCTTATTGTTATTGGGGGGAGAGAGTTTGAGGGCAGAAGTGTAGGAAATGGAGGAGATGCAGTTGAGGGCATCCTTAATTACAGAGTGAGGGGGGAAATTCTGGTCTCTGAAGTAGCTGGCACGTCCTGAAGTAAAACACTTCATCCTGGGAGCAGATGTGGTGGAGGCAGAGGAATTGAGAGAATGGGATAGCATCTTTACAGGAGGATGTGTGAGAGGAGGTGTAGTTGAGGTAGCTGTGGGTGTCAGTGGGTTTAAAATAGATATCAATGGTGAGTTGGTTTCTGGAGAGGTCCAGGAAGGGGAGGCAGGTGTCAGAAATAGTACAGGTGAATTTGAGGGCGGGGTGGAATGTGTTGGGCAATGTTGATGAATTGCTCGACCTCTTCGCAGGAGCACGAGGCAGCACCAATACAGTCATCAATAGTCAAGTAAAGAACTGTACGTTCATGGTGAAGATGAGGTGCTGGGAGCCAGGGAATCAAAAGTTTAGAAAAAGGGGAGGGTGTGGGTTGTGCCATGAATCTAGATAGGGAGCTCCTGGACCAAAGGGGAAAGAACAGAGCTGTGGTCGGAGATGAGCTTGGTGGGGCAGAAGTAGACAGAGACAATGGGTTGACCGTGGCAGTCAGGTTTGTGGATCTTGGGGAGGAAATAGTTCCCCAACCCCACACTGCCTGCTTCTATCAGGTTGGAGGCTGTGGACGGGAGATCTCCTGAGGTGATGAGGTTGTTCATGGTCTGGGAGATGACGGCTTGGTGATCAGAGGGGAGGTCATGATTGAGGGGATGGTAGGAAGTGGTGTCAGAGAGATGGCGTCTGGCCTCACCAATATAGAGCTATAGAGCTCAATTCGCCATACTACCACTGCATCCCTTTTATCAGCGGGTTTAATAGTGAGGTTGGGGTTGGAGCAAAGGGAGCAGAAGGCTGTGCGTTCTATGGGGGAAGAGGTTGGAGTGAGTGGAGAGATGCAAGCAATTGATGTCACGGCAGCAGTAGGAGATGAAGAGGCTGAGGGAGGGTAGGAGGCCGAGGGAGGGGGGTGGATGGAGTTTGCTAGAGGCACATAAAGGGGTCATTAGAAGGTGAGTTGGATTTGCATTCAAACAAATAGGTGCAGAAGTGGCAGCGGCAGAAAGAGAGCTCAACACCACGATGCAGAATTCGTTTACGTGTCGGTGCACGGGAATGAAGGTGAGTCCTTTGCTAAGGACTGACCGTTCATCCTCAGTAAGGATGAGGTCAGGGAGGATGGTGAATACCTGGCAGGGCATGGGCCTGGGGGTTAGTGTAGAACCAGAGCTAGGAGTGGGGGTGGAGACTTCATCAGGAGCGGGTGTGTGCACTACAGTGGTCACGTGGGTAGAAGCAGAAGTAGCCCAGTCATCAATGATATTGTCAGTCATGTGATCTTCCACGTCGGTGGAAGTGGCAGTCACGTGGTTTTCTATGGCAGCAGAAGCAGCAGTCATGTCGTCTCCCCTAGGCCCAACCGGTCGCCCTCCACCGACAGTGTCATTTGTTTGGCAGAACTTGTCCTCACCCTCAGCAATTTTTCCTTGGATTCCTCCCACTTCCTACAAACCAAAGGGGTGGCCATGGGCACCGGTATGAGCCCAAGCTATGCCTGCCTCTTTGTAGGATTTGAGGAACAGCCCCTCTTCCACAACTACACAGGCATCATCCCCCACCTCTTTCTCTGCTATTTTGAAGACTCCAAGGGTGCTACCTTGTGCTCCCACGAGGAGTTTGAGCAGTTCATCAACTTCACCAACACCTTCCACCCCACCCTCAAATTCACCTGAACCATTTCTGTTACCTCCCTCCCCTTCCTTGGCCTCTCCGTCTCCAATCCAGAAACCGACTCACTACTGAAATCCATTTCAAACCCACTGACTCCCACAGTTACCTTGACTACACCTCCTCTCACCCTCCCTCCTGTAAAAATGCTATCCCACACTCTCAATGCCTCCAACTCCGTCGCATCTGCTCCCAGGATGAGGCGTTTTACGCCAGGACATCTCAGATATCCCCCTTCTTCAGAGACCAGAACTTTCCCTCCTCTGGAATTAAGGATGCCCTCAACTGCATCTGCTCCATTAACACCCTACTGCCCTCAAACACCCTCCCCCCAACAACAAGGATAGAGTCCACTTGTACATAACCCCATCAATCTCCAAATCCAACGTGTCATCCTCCGACATTTCTGCCACCTACAATCAGACCCCACCACCAAAAAGATATTTCCTTCCCTACCCCGTCCGCTTTCGTTCCATGACTCCCTCGTCAGCTCTACACTCCCACCAATTCCTCCACCACACTCGGTACCTTTCCCTGCAACTCCAAGAGCTGAAACACCTGTCCCAACACCTCCCCTCTCACCTCCGTCCAAGGCCCCAAGCTTCTTCCAGATGTGGCAGAGATTCACCTGCACTTCATCCACCCTGATCTATTGTATTTGTTGCTCCTGATGTGTACTCCTCTATATTGGGGAGTCCAAATTCAGACACGGGGACTGGTTCACAGAGCATCTGTGCTCTGCACACACAAACCAACCCGACCTTCCGGTTACCATCCATTTTAATTCACCCTCCCACGGCATCATGTCCATCCTTGACCTCCTCCACTGTCAGAGTGAGGCCAAATGCAAACTGGAAGAACATTACCTAGTATTTCACCTTGGGAGCTTATAGCCCAATGGCGTCAATACTGACTTCACCAGTTTTGAAATCCCTCCACCTCCAGCCTTATCCCATGCCTAGCCCTCCCCCTCCTCTTCACCTCCCTGACCTGACCTAACCTGTCCATCTTCCTACTCACTTATCCGTTCCACCCTTCCCACTGTCCAATCACAATAACGTCCTACATACATTCAGCTATCAACATCCCATCTACACTTTCCCCAGCCCCAAACCACTCTCTCTATTTACGTCTGGGCTCCCCTCCCCCTTCCCAGTCCTGACAAAGGGTTTCGGCCTGAAGCGTTGACTTTCCTGCTCCTCGAATGCTGTCTGACCTGCTGTGCTTTTCCAGCCTCACATCTATTGACTCTGGCTTCCAGCATCGTCAGTCCCTACTGTCTCCAAGTCAATGACCATTTTCAAATTGCCTTTCAGTGACTCACTTGATGAAGTAGGAGAACAACTTTACCAAAACATGGTATGGTACATTTAGTACACACCGCTGTCACCAGATTTCCTTGTTGATTTATATTTTGCATCATATAGAAAACTGACAAATCTAAAAACAACTTTATCGATATTCTTCTACAGGTGTCATAGATGAATAGTCATGGCTCACAACCTAAAAGTACCTAAATATATGAAACTCACTCCATCACACAGAACAACACTTGGAATATTAGGTATGCCTGAGCTCTAAAGCTTGCTACATGGGTCGTTTCAACAGTCCATCACATCATTACGAATATTCTCTTTACTGTCAAAGAATTATACTCATTCAGCTGTTAAATTACGAGAATGATAAAAACTGCATAGCCTCTCGTGCATATATGAATAGTGAAACAGGGAGAAAATCTGATTAAAACTTAAGCTGACTAATTATTGCAATAATTTACAGCATGTTCTTGTTAACGTGCATTGCCCCAGCACCGTCCACTCGCTAACTTGCTGGGTTTGAAGGTCGACTACTTCTCTTTTGCTGGGAATACATCCCACATTCTCACCATGTGTTGTGCCTTAATCAGTTAATTTCATATTTTTTGCTAAAAAAATCTAATGTCAACCTTCCAATAAAAGACTTGCTTAGCTTTGTTTCTAGAAGAGCTGGCCATCCCAATATCATCCCTTCATAGTATTTAAAGCCAACATTAAGTACAAAATTAATAAATTACTTTGTCAGGTGGGGTGAAGAACTTGGTCGGCAATACAGGATCCTTTGGAGAGTCCAGGTTATAGGTGGTACTTTTGGTTGTGATGACAATAAGCGCCACATCACATACTATGTAGAGTTTCTGTAAATGCAAACAGAAAAGCACAACAGTAGCAACATTTGTCATGTTTTAAAAGTTCTGAAAATTAGTTTCAAAATTAAAATATTTGCAGCATTCCAATGCCATCTCTTATAGAATCTTCCATGTTAAAATGGAAGATATGGTTTTATAATGAAGCAATACGTCATCACTCTGATGCTAATGGCACTTGCATTTTAAATGTCAAAGCGAAATCAATTAAAGCAAAATCATGTTTCTAATTTGCTGGCAACTTTTGCTGTATCTATCTCAGATCAGGAAAAAGAAAGCAGGAAATGATTTAATTTCTGTGTTTTTTTCCTGGCTTGAAAATTGAACATTTTACAAAACGTGTGAACTAAAACATCATAAACATCTTCAAAAGGGCTGATGGCTGTTAGAGGTCAATCATCTCAGCTCCAGGACATCACTGCAGGAGGTCCTCCGGGTCATGCCCTAAACTCAACTATTTTCAGTTTTCATGGGTTGTGGGCTTCACTGGTGAGGTCAGGATTCATTGCCCATCAGTAATTGTCCAGTGGACAGTTAAGAGTTAACCACATGGCTGTGGGTCTGCAGTCACATACAATGCCAGTAAGGATGGCAGTTTCAATTTCTAGAGCACATTAGTACCCCAGAACATTAGTCCAGGCCTCTGGTTTACTTGTCCAGTGATATTACCACATTGCCACCACATCCCCTGGCTTCAAGTGACTTCAATTACTTTTCCTCCATCATAAGGTCAGGAGTGGGGATGCTTGATGGTGATTGCACCACATTCAGTACCATTTGCAACTTTGCAGATTCTGAAGCAGTCAAGTGTACTTATGCAGTGAGAACTGAATAACATACAGCCTTAGGCTGATTAGTAGCAAATAGTATTTGCATCACACAAGTACCAGGCAATGACCATTTGCAACAACAGAAAATCTAACCATCATCTCATGACATTTAATTACCACCATCACTAAATCTCCCAGTTTCAACAGTAGTGTGATAGGAAGGTGTAGAAAAATCAGAAATGGTTAGCAAATGCAGACATTCACAAAAGGGACTAAGCAGTCCTCATCAATAAGCAGGTGATAGTGTTGGATTAGTGGTAATGCCACTAGACTAGTAATCCAGAACCCCTAATGTAATGGGACCAAGGGTCTAATTTGACCATAGCAGCTAACCTGACCTTCATATGATTCCAGATTCATTGCAATTTGGTTGATGCTTGGTAACAATTGCAGGCCTAGCCAGCAATGCCCACATACCTTGAATGACAACTAAGAAAAGTCACTGAAGATCAACATGCACCTGCAAGCAAGCATTTAGGAAGTCTAATAGTCTATTAGGCTTTTTCACAAAAGGATTTAACAACAGTAGTAGCTAAGTCTTGCTTCAATTGTTTTGCACCTTGGTTTGACCATACCTGGAGTGCTCTGTACAATTTTGGTCCCCTTACGATGGATATTATCACCTTATAAGACCATACGGCATTGGAGCAGAAGCAGACCAGTCAGTCCATGAATGGGCAGAACAGACTTCAATGAAATCATGTATGATCTGATGATTCTTAACACTTTCCTGCCTTTTCCCTATAACCCTTGATGCCTGTACTAATTAAAAATCTATCTCAGCCTTGACAATCCAGCTTCTGCGGTCCTGTGAGGTAAAGGTCAGCATAGATTCCACAGCAATCCAAAAGAAGAAATTCCTTCTGCTCTCTGTCTTAAATGGGTGACCCCTCAATTCTAAGATGGTTACCTTTAATCCCAGAGTCTCTGACAAGGGAAACCAATATCTCCACATCTACCCTGACAAGTCTCCCAAGAAACTAGTATGTCTCAATAAGGTCACCTCTCTGTCTTCTAACCTCTAATAAGAACAGGGCCAACATTGTCAACCTCTTTTCATAAGCAAATTCTACCAAATAAGTACGCATGAAGGGAAAATAAACAATCCAACTGGAGTTAGGAGAATTCAAATTTGCCAGGTTCTTGGATCACTAATTGATTTTTTTTCTAAAATCCCTGTGCAGTGGTTAGGAATACTTTTCGAAGGAAATTAGTCTAAGGTAATATAAGAAAATAGAAAATTAGCCTCAGTCATACTTGCCAAATGAATTTGTAGCAGTGTAGATTAAGAGACAGTTAAACTAAAATGTAAATATTATTTTTGATTGCATTAAGCAGAAAATGGTTATAATGGTTTTACAGCATTTCTTTCTTCATTGTTATAATGTTAAATATAAGCTTTATTTGGGTGAGAATCAGTCAAAAGAGCACAGCAACATGCTAATTAGCTGCTAAAACGGAGAGGCGACAGCCCAGTGGTATTATCGATGGACTATTAATCCAGAATCCAGAGACCCAGATAACGTTCTGGGGACCCCAATTTGAATTCTGCCACAGCAGATGGTGGAATTTGAACTCAATATTCAAATATTGGAATTAAGGATCTAATGATGACCATGAATCCATTGTCGATTGTCAAAAAAACACATCTGATCCACTAATATCCTTTAGGGATGGAAACTGCCATCCTTACCTGGTCTGGACTACATGTGACTCCAGGCCTGCAGCAATGTGGTTGACTCCTAACTGCCCTCTGGGCAATTAGGGATGGGAATAAATGCTGCTTGGCCAGCAACACCCTCATCCCGTAAATGAATAAAGAAGAAAATAAAAATCAACCTTGAAAAGCGAGTTTGGAAGAGAATGGAAAGCATCAGCTCAACACAAAAGTAAGAAATGAAATGCTGAGGAGCGTGGACAACGATAGGAGTTTGTTGAATGAAATTAGCAAAGGTAGAGGGGCTGGCTAGGGACATGCAAAAAGGAACTGGACCAATAAGAGATGTAATGGAGGGAGGGTTTCAAAGAAAATAGGAACAGGAAGGAAGATGTCCTGAGAATTGAAATTAGTGGAAAATGATAAGACTGGCATAGGGCAAACGGACATGTAGAACTCGTCAAGTCAAGGCCGCGCCTTCAGGTAGAACACATTGTGATGAATGAAGTACAATAAACTGGCTAATGGCTGCGTTCAAGTAGCAAACAAAAGTTGGAAGATTTAGAGCGTAGGACTCAATTCTGTTTCAAAATAAAGTTACATAAGTGAACAATTAAATCCAGCCAGACGCATTAAATAGATTATAATTTTGTACTTTTGCAATGTCAACACTGAAGGTATGTTGTTGTTCAAAATTGTGCACACATGATTATGGTGCAATTTACCTCAACCAGAAAGGAATTGCCTTGGAAGTTTTCAACAATGTCTCATGAAGTCTAATGGCATTAGGTCAAACATGGGCAAGCAAACTTCTTGCCAATTACTACATACCTTCTGCTGATGAATCAGTAGTACTCTATGTTGAGCACCACTTGGAGGAAGCACGGAAGGTGACTAGCATGTAGAATACACTGTGGGTGGGGGATTTCAATGTCCATCACTGAGAATGGCTCAGCAGCACCACTACTGATCAAACTGTCCAATTCCTATGGACGTAGCGGCGCTGCAAGACTGGGTCTGCAAGTGGGCAGTGAATGAACCAAGAGGCAAGAATCTACTTGGCCTCATTGTCATCTTTTTCTACCTGTAGCAAATGCATCCATCACTGTATTGTCCTTATGGAGACAATATTGTATGTTCATTGTTTGAGTTACTGTTGTCACATATACTTAGATACAGTGAAAAGTGTGGTTTTGCATGCGATACAGGCAGATTGTACCAGACAGAGTGCCTCAAGGTGGCAGAACAGAGCGCAGAATACAGTGCTATAGCTGCAGAGAAGGTGCAAGACCAGATCAGAATTAACATTTAAGAGGTCCATTCAAAAGTCTAACAACAGTGGGGAAGAAGTTGTTCTTGAATCTGTTTGTACATGTATTCAAACATATATATCTTCTGCCTGACAGAACAGAGTAGAAGAGAGTATAACCGGGGTCTTTGATTAAGTTGGTCACTTTCCTGAGGCAGTGGGAAGTATAGGAGGAGTCAAATGGATGGAAGGTTGATGATGGGCTGGGCTGCGTTCACGACTCTTTGTAGTTTCTTGCTGTCTGAACAGTTGTTGTACCATGCTGTGATGTGTCCACATAAGATACTTTCTATTGTTGTGAAGGTGGGTAGAGTACTTGTGGACTGGGAGGCAGGAAGTTAGAATTTGGTGTTTGCAAAATGCTAGGGGGGGAAAGCATCACGTGGTCCCATTAAAAGATCATGTGCTTTTTCTGTGCTTAGAAATCAAAAACGGATGTCTGCGAGCACCAGCTTGAAAGTTTGCAAGTGTAGAGTGCCTGAATTGAAACATTTATACCAAAAGGCTGTACAGTTAGCAGGTCAAGAAGCAGTTTCACCAAGACAACAAGTTTTAATTTAGCCAATCAATTTAAACCAGGCACTGAAATATCAAAAACCAATTAAATTTAAAGCTGATAGTTTTGACAACATTCTAAGAATTTGGCATCAAGGGAATAAAAAGGGGGCAGTTGGAAAACGCCCCAGCTGAGGCGGATAGCAGCTAGCTCTAACAGCCCACAGCTCTCAACAGAGGATCGCTGGCTCTCTCAGCCTCCTCTACATCTTACAGAAAGTACTATCTAAATAACAACGGTACCAACCGCACTAGTTAATATTCCTGACAGAAGAATCAATGGAGAAATCACAGCACATTCTGGAAGACACGTAATCTGACTGTAATTTTGACAGACTAAATTCCATTTTATTCTTAATATAAGTGGGATTTGTATTTATTGGACAGCATACCATTAGAATCTGAGATAAGGAGGGTAACGACTTCAAGGTAAGCATCCTTAAAAGAGACTTCGCAGTGGGGTTAAAATTGTTACAGAGATAGTAGGAACTGCCGATGCTGGAGAATCTGAGATAACTTCAAGGTAGGCATCCTTAGAAGAGGCTTCGCAGTGGAATCTTGCCTTTTTCGGGAATAGTTTGTAGTTAGAAGGGACTTATTCGGTTTGTTAATAGCTTAGTTCATTTGCTCACTGTGAGGA